TATTCCCCATGGTCGAGATGACATTTAGTTGACCACCATCACGAAGGACCACCGTCGACTCTTACGACCGAAGGTCTTGTATAAAATGGAGATGTAATTTAAAGAAAATCTAAATCAAGAACGATAGTCCTTGCAAGTAAGAATTTGATAAGAAACTTAAATCTATTGCCTACTCTCAACGAATGCACTCAAGGAGCACCTCATACATTTTAAGATGATTTTGTTCAAGTCAACACTAAAGAGAGTTGTGTTGTCGCTTCGGATCCCTCAAGATAATATACTCACATTGAAGCACCACAACAAAGTGTGAGTTATATGTTGACCCTCACATCTAGTGGTTGTTAGTCGAGTTTTTTAAGGTGGCTTCTCTATCCATGGTGTCCCTCTACAAGCGGAATGGACGCAGGTAGTAATTGATGAAGTTCATGATGTTGATGCTCTAGTGTCTTTTCCTAATGAAGAGATTCAACTAGTGGGGTAGGCAAGCGGCACATTCTTGGTTTGACCAAGACGTTTGATAATGTCACTCCCATCATGGATCAAGGTAATATATATATTGTGTATTTTCTCTTCTTATAATTATATGAATGTTTAATTAATTGTTATCATTTGTTTAGGAGTTTATTTGTCGTGGTAAGCATAAGAGACAACTTGTTATTGATGAGAACATCACGGAATCTAAGGATATCTCATATCTATGTTGTTGACAATTTATTACCATGGTTGAGGAAAAGACCATGTCAAATACAGTGGGAGACCATAGTGTTTGGAATTGATAATTCATTTGTTCCACTGTACATTTCCATGTCCGACGCATTAGAAATTATTGGGGAAAACTCGCATGTTAAACATTTTCATCATACAATTGTGGGTCATGTAAGTCATTTTCATTTATATTTCCAATATTATAATAAATATATTTAACTTGTAATTTATTATGTTAAGTACATTGACAAATTGAGTGTGGAGTAAGAAAATTTTGAAATATATGGATTTATTGAGTTTCAATCCATCCAAATATTTGGAAATATAAAGGTCTGAATCCAAGCAATATAAACATGGACGAATGACTCAAAAAGTGTTGAATATTTATTTGGCAAGAGTACTAAAATTATCAATTGCAGTATAGTATTTCGATTAAATAAAAGTTGATCCCACGAGGAACGGTTTTAATGGAAATTCCAAATCATATGCATACTAAGTATATTGAAAAAAATTTGGGTTTTCATAAAGATTTGGATTGAAATTAAATGGTAAAGAACGATAGACGATATTTAGAAAAGATTAAATTAAAGAACTTAGGATTGACTTCCTTCCTTTTCTCTCTTTTGCATAATGGCTAGGTCAAATTAAGAATATCAATTAACCTAACAATGTTGATGTCACCTACTCAAATCATTCACTTTGATTCCTCGCATGTGAAATTCATAAGAAAACCCGATAAATGCTTATTCCTCACATACCTAAAAGATTTTCCAGCATTAGGTTTAGGGTGTTAAGCACTTGATACATTCATTCCATTCCTGGAAATTAACGTAGCAAATATTCTTACCTGATCTAGGGTTTCAAGATATATTTTCCAATCATATCCCAAACATCAAGAATAAATCATTCCAAAGCACAAAAGACAAGAATAATAATATCAAAATATAGATTAATATCTCAAAATATCACCATGATACAAAAGAATTCCAAGGAAGTGCACTCAATCCTAAGAGAATGAAGTTAGTCACTCATGGTGGCTATTACAATGCTCTAAACGAGAAAGAATTGAAGAATCCTTGAAGAACAATAGCAGTCGCGCCTCTTCTCCAAAAACCTAAAATTCATCTCAAAACGCGTCTTATCTTTTTATAGGAAAATTTGGGTCGAGCCTCGCATCATTCGTTTACTCAAGCGTTCTTCTTTCTTTTAATTTTTTCTTCAATTACTTCACAATTATGATCTTTGCTCTTGTATCCTGGTATTATGAAAATTCATCCTACATTGGGAGAAAAATATATTAGAATCACTATAATTTAAGTGGTTATATCACAATTAAGAGCATAATTACATCAACTTTTACCACTTAACGAAAGACATATGCACTTGACTTCATTCATTGAAGGGTTAATATTTTAACTTGTATTTTTTCATCATGTTAATTTTATTACTAATTTTTATGTCATATATTGTAGGTCTCATTGGTAGTTAATTGTAATCATGTCTAGGGATTACATTGTGGTGTGTTTTTTTCATTGCATCGAAAACCAAGTCAAGAAATAAAAAGTCTATTACAAGTGGTAACTTTATATTTTTTTTATTAATTATGTTTTGAAATTCTAAATATATATTGAATAATATCTAACTTTATTTCAATTAGAATCGTTTCGCAACTACTATTGTAAGTGGAAGACCCGAAACAAAGAATTTTCAATTCATTTATCCTAAGATTAGAAACTTATTTATATAAACAAACACCATAGTTATTGTTCATATTTAAATTTTGAAAATAACATTATGTTTTGTTTCTTAATTTAGTGTAATAAGTGTCGCCGTCGTCCCTTTTCGACGTCCTTGGACGTCTGGAAATGTTTATGCGGCGGTCGCGAAAAGATGGTTTAGACTCGCGTATTTGTTTTAAAATGTGTTCATTGCTTCCGAGGTGTTTGACAATTGAATTATCCTCTAATAAAAGCAAGGTTTTCGAAAAGGGGTTCTTATGGAGTCGCCACCAATATTTTGACCGTAAACATTGGAAAAGGAAAAACAAAGGCGTTGATTTTATAAAAAAAAAAAACTTGGCAGTTATAACCGAGTTGGGTAAGGGAGTTAGTTACGTGTGGGGAAGGTGTTAGCACCCCACAACGCCCCTTTCGGGTTCCCTATGACGGATTAATTCACTAAGTGAAGATTATGAGAAATTACGCGATTACCCTATTTTATTGCATAATATTGAAATGACTATCTACATAATTTTATATAAATAAAGCTAAATAAAGCAATAAAAGAGATATTAAAATGGCTATCTACATGATTTTATTCTACATGACATAATAAATAAAATAAAACAATAAATAAAGCAATAAAAGAGAAGGGAATTGAAAAGAACCTCCGTAGCAAGCTTTATATTGAGAATCTCGAACTATGAGGTCTGCGTTTGGCAACCCCTCTCTCTATACGTACTCTCCTCACCAATACAAGATCGACTCCACTAAAAATTTAAAGAAGAATTAAATGCCTGAATATAATTCCTTAACCGATTGTTACCTATTTAAGGCAATCTGAAAGATCATTCGAGAGAGGGAGAGAAGTAGACAAGTGCTCCGAGTGTTTCGAGCTCTTCCGGAGTGTCCGTGGGGTTCAAAAGTGGCAAATGAGCCTCCTATTTATAGTTTTCGCAGTTGGCGCACTTTGGGACCACCGTCTGGGTTGGGACGGTCGTCCGGACCGGGACGACCGTCCCAAATGGCAAATTTACACGCAGTGGGACCACCGGAGTCCGGACGGCCGTCCCACTTAAATTGGGTTTGGGACGGCCGTCCCAACCTCGGGACGGTGGTCTCGGCCTGTTTTGTCCAGTCTTCGCGTTCGGGACCCCGGGAATCTTTCCTTGCCGTTTTCGGACTTGGATTGATGCCGATATATGTCCGTTGAAGCTTTATCTTCATATAGGAAGTCTTCTTGGCCTTCATTAAGATGTCTGGCGAGCTTTGTCTTTGTGTAGGAAGTCTCTTTTGGCTTTTATTGTGTGAATGAGTGAACTCCGTCTTTTGTTGTGGGAGGTCCTTCTCGTTTTGGGAAGCCCTGATGAACTCCATCTTCGGGTGAAGTTCCTCTAGCTTTTATTTTGAGAGGTCGGAAAAATTAGGGGTCTACAATAAGCAAACAAACTCCTTTGAATATGCCTACTATATTACGTATTGGATGAGAATCAAAGTTTGTGCGGGTATAACTAATTCTTGGACGAGAGGTAATTGCTTTCAACATTTGTTAAGTTGATTTACCTTTGTGCATAATGAATGTTAAAAGGAGTCAAATTAATGTTTAAAGTATTTCAAAATTCATCTCCGAACATGATATTACACAAATTAGAGAGTAATAAACATGGTTTTCATTTAACATTTCTAGTATATAGGTTGTAAGTTATTGTTTGTATTATATTATATTATGTAGTTTAGTATTTAACTTTTAAGTAGTTTACTCTTTGTACTAGTTTAGCTTTAATAGTTTATATTATATTGTATTGTTGTATTTTAAATTATTATCTATTGAAAGTCTGAAATATGGATTGTTTTTTATTAAAATGTGTTTGTAGGTTTTGATTGTAAGACAAAACAAACATAATATTAAACAAAACGACGAAATGTACATCTTGTGTGGCAATACGCAACGTAAATTTACGTCGGTATTAACACACTTGATGTAAATTTTGTCCCATTTTTTAATTTTTGAAACCCTTTTACATCTATTTTGTGTCTTTTTTTGGCATAAATTGATGTCGATTATTACGTATGAGATAAATTTATATCTCTTGTATTAATGTCAAACTTATATATGATGTAAAAAAACTAAAATAACAAATGTAAAAATCTCACTCTGACAGCACTAGGGATGTTTCTCATTGAGCAAAATCTCTTGTACGTTAAACCTCCATTCTTCTACTTCTAGCTTCCTATTTCTACAAAAATTATACAAAATCTGAGTAGTTATATAATTTTTAACTTTTAAATGTTTTTTAAAGTGTATAATATGAATATAAAAAAAATAATAAATAAATTAAGTTTTCAACACACATAGATTTTTAATATATTTTTAGATGTATAGTAAATAGTAGATATAAATTGAGATGATAACAAACTTAAACTTATTTATATGGAGGGATTGTTTTTACACACATAATTTATTAAAATAAATAAATATTAAAAGCTCAAGCAAAATACTAACAATTTCTTATAACATATTTTTTTTCATCAAGGGAGTACTTCTTTTAACTACCCCAAATGAGTTACAGAGGTCATTTAGTGACCAATCTTTGAAAGTTCAAAATAAGCGGAACCATCAGGAAACCAAGCTCTTTCTGCTATGTGTTTGAGCTCTTTAGCCCTTGCCCTAATCACACACCCATCTCTGTCATCCTTATCCATTATCTTCCTTATTGCTTTTGCTAAATCCTCACTTCCAACCATGTAGGCAGAGGGTGACACCTCTACTTGAACTGCATTGCCAACGTCCTCCACAAGCATTCTAGCATTCATCATCTGGTCTGCAAAAAGAGGCAATCCAATTATTGGCACCCCACATGAAACACTCTCCATAATGGAGTTCCAGCCACAGTGTGACACAAAACCGCCGACAGATGGATGCTTCAAAATATCCATTTGTGGTGCCCAATCTGTGATCACAATCCCATTGCTTTGTATGCGATGGAACTCATCAAGAAAAGAATTTGATTTTTCAAGGTTTTCACTACCTTCAAAGGAACCAGAATATATTCATAATAATATTTGAAATTTAAATGTGTTAAATATTTGTAATACTTCTAAATTGTGAATTGATAAGTCCAATTTTCATCAAATTTCTAAAGTTTACATATGTCTCATAGGGTTATCTCGTGTTTTCTATTTTTCATAAATTTGTGCTTGGAATAGGGTGTAAGTGTTAAGTGATAAAAAATTGATATAATTATACCTTGAATTGTTATGAAACCACTTAACTTATGCTAATTACAATCTATTTTTCTCCCAATATAGGATGAATTCAAGAATACCTTGATACAAGAGTAAGGAGCATAATTAACAAGTAGAATTGGAGTAAAACTGGAAGAAGGAAGAAGATTTTCAAGATGAAAGTCGCTCGAGCGAGATGGATTCTCGCTTGAGCGAATCTTAGTTATTCTTCTCTCGAGTTCACTCGCTCAAGCGACAAGATTCGCTGAGCGAATATCGCTACTCTTCTCGAAAGTCGGCCGCTCAGCTGCAGAAAATTCGCTTGAGCGAATGTTACTTATTCTTCTCTAGAGTCAATTCGCTCAAGCAAGTGTTTTGTCGCTTGAGCGAAAACAGCTACTTTCGCTTGAGCGAAAGTTCTCGCCGAGCGAAAGACGCGAAGCCCAAAAGCCCAAATTTTTCCAATAAAATGAGAAGATGTGTTTTGAGAAAAGCAAGCGGTTTTGGAGGAGAAGAGGCGCGACTATCGCTAGTGGTTTCATCCAATCTTCATCAATTCTTCACTTCTTCCACAATTTGAGCATTATAATGGCCAACATGAGTGGCTAACTTCATTCTCTTAGGATTTGGTGCACTTCCTTTGAACTCTTTTGTATGATAGTGATATTTTGAGATATTAATCTATGCTTTGATGTTGTTATTCTTATCCTTTATGCTTTGGAATGATTTATTCTTAATTGTTTGAGGTATGATTGGAAAATATATATTGAACCCTAGATCACTGGTAAGAATATTTGTTATGTTAATTTTCAGGAATGGAATGAATGTATCAATTGCTTAACATCCTAAACCTAATGCTGGAAAATCTCTTAATTGTGTGAGGAGTCAACATTTATTAAGTTTTCTTATGAATTTCATGTGTGAGGAATCAACATGGATGAATTGAGTAGGTGGCATCAACATTGTTAGGTTAATTGACGTTCTTAATTGACATAGCCATTACAACAAGTACGGATAAGGTAAGTGAAACTCAATCCTAAGTACCTTTAATTGATATTTTCTCAACAATTTATAGTTCACTTAGTCATTTAATTTCAATTCAACTCTTATTTGAAAAACTCAATCTGTTTTAATCCACTTAGTAAGCATATAATCGAAATACTATATTGCGATTGATAATTTTGGTACGCTTGTCAATAATTCAACAAGTATATTCTAGTATCGTTGTCTGGGAACGATGTTCTTTGAGAATTCTTTGTTTAGCTTATTGAGTATTTTATTTTTATTTCTGTTTTTGTTTTATTTTTCAGTTTTAGTTTTAATTAATTATTGTCTTGTGCTAATTTTTGTTTGAGTTACTCTTTTGATTTATGCTTAAGAGGACAAGTATCTTCAAAGCAATTAGAATTTAATCCGTGAGATTGAAAAACTAGCTCTGAGGAACCGGGGTAGAAGAAGAAGGGAAACTCAAGAACAAGCCACAAGAGAATATGCTAATTCTTCTTCCACATTTGATTTACCGAATCCAATTATACAAGATATGGCAAAAGAAGGAGCAAATCTAAATCGAATCCAGATCCAAATATAAATCCAAATCAAAACCCAAATTCAAATCCACCTAGAAGAACTCTTGAAATTATGTTATGCAAGCAAGGTCCAAGACACTTTTCTAGCATTACCATATCGGACGATCAAACATCTGCAGATGAATCCAGCTTTCTTAAGCCTAATTAGTGCTCATCAATTCATTAGATTTGATCATGAAGACCCTTATATTCATTTGTCTACTTTTTATGAGTTAATTGGTACCATGAGATTTAGAGCAAGCAAATCTTAAATCTGCATATTTGAGATTATTTCCTTTTTCTTTGGCGTGTAGGGCAAAGGAGTGGCTGAAGGCACATCCTAATCGTAGTTTAACTAATTGGAGTAATGTAGAAGAGAAGTTTCTGAACGATTTTTCCCACCATCCCGCTACATCAAAGCAAAATCCGACATCACTTCTTTCAGACAAGGAGCAGAATGAACAATTTTGTGAAGCATGGGAGAAATTTAAATCACTGTTGAGAAGATGCCCAAATCATGGATTTGATGACATCGCTCTAGCTTGAATATTTTCTATACTCGGCTTACGACATGATGCAAAGATGCTATTAGAGGCTGCAGCAAGAGGATCCATGTTGAATGTAGAAATTGAACATGCTACAAGAATTATTGATGCACTAGCTTTTACAGACCAACATGCCCAACATGATAGACATCCAATTCAAAGGAAGGGAGTTCTTGAACTTAACACCTCAAATGCTATCTTAGCCCAGAATAAAATTTTGACGCAACAAATTGAAGCATTGAACCAGAAAATAGAGAAATTAGCCTCAACAAATGCACACAGTACAATCCATTCCTAATCAACAAATGAGTTGTGACGTGTGTGGAGGTGATCATGCAAATGAACAATACTCTTATCAAGGTAACATTCAACAAGAAGAAGTTAATTATATGGGGGCTCAAGGTAGTAGTCAAGGCAAACAAGGTACTTTCCCTAATCCCAACAATTATCGAATAATGTTGCACAAGGATGGAGAGGGAATCAAAATCAGAATCTAGAATTTTGGGTGGAAACAAGGTGTTAGCTCATCTACTAGACAACCTACATTTCAACAACAGTCATATCAAGCAACCTCCATATCAACAACAATAACAACATTATCCTTCAATGCCTGACGTAATGAGTAAATTGGAGGATACTTTGGAAAAATTCATGCAAAGCACTATGGCTAATCAGAAAAATACTGAGGCTTCATTCGTAAATATAGAGACCCAGATAGGTCAACTCGGCTAAACAATTATCTCGAGCAAGAAGGAGGACAGTTTTCAACTAACACACAAACCAATCCAAAGGAGCAATGTAAGTCAATAACTACAAGGAGTGGTAAGGTTATAGGAGAAGGGATTGGTGACAATCTGGCTATAGAGAAGGAAATCCAAATGAGGACGAAAAAGAAAGATGAGTGTGAAGGAGAAAAAGAGAAAAATAAAAGAGAGAATATAGAAAAAGAAAAAATACTGAAAAAGAAGAAACAAATAAAATAGTGAGAAAAAGAGGGAGAAAGATGAGAGTCAAATACCGCAATTAAAGGATTTACCATATCCTTTTCATCCTTCCAAGAAAGATAAAGAAATACAGTTTGCAAGATTCATGGATATTTTCAAGCATTTACAGATTAATATTCCATTTATGGAGGCTATGGAGCAGATGTCGACTTATGCAAAATTCATGAAAGAGTTGTTAACTAAGAAAAAGAGATTTGCTACAGCAAACAGTAGAGCTAGAAGTAGGATGCATCGCTATAATTAAAAAATTAGTACCTCAAAAGTCCAAGGATCCTGGCAGTTTTACTATACCAGTCACAATTGGGACATTACAAGTAGGTAAGACATTACTTGATTTGGGTGCTAGTATAAATCTAATGTCTTTATCTATGCTTAAAAGAATAGGAGACTTGGAAGTAAAACCTACAAGAATGACATTGCAGCTAGCTGACAGATCTCTAAAATTTCCTTATGGTGTGGCGTAAGATGTTTTGGTCGAGTTGATAAATTTATGTTTCCGATTGATTTTGTTATGATGGATATGGAGGAAGACACCGAAGTTCCTCTTATATTGGGAAAACATTTCATGAAGACAACAAAAGTTATTATTGATGTTGATGATGACAAGTTAAAAGTCAGAGTAGAGGATGAGGAAGTTAATTTTAATGTGTTTGAAGCAATGAAGCATCCTACAGATAAACAACATTATCTTAAGATGGATGTGGTAGATGATATCTTTCAAGCAGCAAGGAAGCAACTAACCAAAGCAAGCCCATTAGAAAAAGCTTTGACAGGTATTAATGATGAATTTGATGAAGAGGAGGAAAAAGAATTTGAGAAATATGTAAAACATCTTGATTCAACAAAAGAAGTTACTGCAAAAGAATAACAATCTGAGAAATTTCAGCAAGAACATGAAATTGAGAGTCAGAAGCTAGAATTAAAGGTATTACCTCCTCACTTAAAATATGTTTTTCTTGCAGATGGAGGCAGCAAGCCAGTGGTGATTAGCAATGCCTTAACAAATTCTGAGGATGAAAAATTGATCTCAGTTTTGAAAGAAAATGAGAAGGCTATAGGGTGGACATTATTTGATCTCAAAGGAATCAGTCTTTCTTATCGCATGCATAGGATTCACATGGAGAATGATTTCAAACCTGTTGCACAACCTCAAAGACGTCTTAATCCAACTATGAAAGAGGTGGTAAAGAAAGAAGTATTGAAATTACTTGATGCAGGTATGATCTATCCTATCTCTGATAGTGCTTGGGTTAGCCCAGTTCAGGTGGTCCCAAAAAAAGGAGGTATGACTGTAATTTATAATGATAAAAATGAATTAATACCTACTAGGACTGTAACATGTTGGATAATGTGTATAGATTATAGAAAATTGAATCGTGCAATTAGAAAAGATAATTTTCCTTTACCTTTTATGAATCAAATGTTAGAAAGGTTAGTAGGACAAACTTTTTATTGTTTTCTGGATGGTTATCCGGGGTATAATCGGATAATAGTAGATCCGAGAAGATCAAGAAAAACTGCTTTTACTTGTCCTTTTGGTGTGTTTGCTTACGAGAAAATGTCATTTGGATTGTGCAATGCCCCAACAACTTTTCAAAGATGCATGTCGGCTATGTTCTCGGATTTGGTGGAACAATGCATAGAAGTTTTCATGGATGATTTCTCAGTATTTGGTGCATCATTTGACCAA